TTTGATGTACCAAACATGCAAGAGGCACGGATTTCATTTTTATTTCTATTTCTGCCCCCTCAATTCCAGCTTACCAAACAGGACGTAAATGAACTAAACAGTAAAGAAAAAAAGTATATGGGGTAAAATTGAAAAAAAGTTATTAAATGTTTAGAAAAAAAGTAAATGTTATTTTATAAAAAAATCAAAGCCCTCCAATAAAATTTATCTTATAATTTTCTTCAAGCATGCATGAAAAGAACAAAGATTAAATTGTCTATTAATGTATTTTAAAATATAAAATATCTTCTTTGTCGTATAGACATACAAAAGGAAAATCAAATGCCAACACATACACCACAAGAAGTCCTGTCGAGTGCAAAATTCTTTTGGGATTTTACTGATACAAATTCCCAGAATTGGTTTTCACTCGATAAATTAAAATATTAGCATATATAGAGTAATTATTTTCTAAGGAAGGATAACCATCAATTTAAATAAAATTAAAATAAAACAAGGAACGCAGTTTTAGACCGTTGATGGAGAAACTTAATTGCATAATAGACCGTCTAATTAATTTAAATTATTAAAAATTGCTTACCATAATTTTTCAATAGTTCCAACTGATAGCCAAACATTGCTACCCGACAAATAAAGCATATAATTTTAAGATTTCGTTCTTTTGCAAATTAGTTGAGTCGAATAAAGCGTTCGGTAAGCAAGCATAACAAAGCAAATTTTAAAAAGTAATTTTTATGTGTATCCAACATCTTAAATTATTTTTTTTTTAATGACATCTAGGATTCTACAGTAATTTTTATGCATCCAGCTTCTTAAAAGATTTTTCATTTGCACTCAGCTTCTTAAAAAATATTTTAGGGTATTGGATGCAGTAACAATTAATTTAAGATATTATGTGCTACTAAAAAACACTTTACGGTATTATAAATAATGAAGAATTTTTATTATGGAAAGTCAGAATTGAGAAATTGCATTATACACATTTATAAACTAATAAAATAGAAAATCGAGAAATATTGATTTAGATTTTATTAGGTTAAATAGTTAGTTGTTTTATTAGCTCCCCTCGGGTTCTCTCCTAAGCAGGTATCATTAACATTCCTTCCTTTCTTTCCAATCATTATATTTCAAACAAGGGATTGTTAAGATCGCTCTCCTCCCTTCTCCTGAACTCTGGTAAGCCAAATAAAGCATTAGGTAGGCAAGCATAATAATAGTTGAAATGAACAACAGGACAACAGGAATAAAGGACATGAAATAGATACACTACAACAAAATGTATTATTTACCTCCCTCATTTATGTCTGTTTTGCAAAACAGAAGAGACTTCATGTCTGTTTTAAACAAAACAGACGTGAACTCACGTCCGTTGACCCAAAACAGACGTGAACTCACGTCCGTTTATAAGAAACAGACGTGAACTCACGTCTGTTTCTAAGTAAACAGACGTGAAGGGGCTTCATTTTTAAAAAAAATTTGCCCGCAGCTAGCGCAGCTCGCCGCATCAGTAGTTATCTATCAGATTTGCATATGTACCGCGCGCGATCGAAGAACTCCAGCTCGCAGCTATCTCGCACCCAACTTTCAGTTTCGATCGGTCTCTCCCTCTCATTTTCCTCTTGTTCGTGAAGTAGCCGTGAGCTATTTCAACTTGTTTCGGTCTCTCCCCCTGGTTTCAGCTCTTCAAGGCCGCGCCGTAGCCAGACTCCCTCCATTGCGTCGCTCATTCTGCAGTAGCCGTGTTGTAGCAGCTCGCCGTTGAAGCCGTGAAGCTCACACGCACAGCAGCTCACCGTCGTCGTCCTCTCTGTAGGCCGTTGATTCGAAGGCACGCCAGAACGGTGAAGGTAAGTTCATTCAACCGTTGCATTTTAGTGTGTTGTACGGTGGGTTTGAGTAGGTTGAGGAGTTTTGAATTTGTTTCTGAGGTTGCTGTTTAAATTTTTGCTGAAGAATTGTGTTTAGATAGTTTTAAATTTGTATATATTGATTGGATAGAAATTTTAATGATTTCAAGCCTTGTTAATCTTGTTAGAAAAATAATGCATACAAGGTGTTTGTTAAAATGCCTAAGAGGGATTGCATTAGATAGTTTGCTATATGTGTTGAATTTAGATTAAGGATTGGGTATACATTAAATGATTAATGAAAAAATTGTATTTAGATAAGTTAAAATTTGTTTACATTGATTGGGTAATAGATTTGAAGTTTGAAATCATTTGTTTGGAATTGGCATGATTTATGTTGTAATTGGAATGAATCGGATTCAATTGATATCATTAGTTTTGAATTTGGTTAATGTTTATTGGGACTGTGCTGAATGGAATTAAATTGTTTATAATTCCTTAGGTAGTAACAGAATGGATCATAGTTGGATGAATGCTTTAAGAACAAGTGATGAATATGAGAACGGAGTAGAACGATTTATTGAATTTGCTAAACAGAATGCTCGTAGCAATAACGGAAAAATGGTGGGAAGCGTTCCGGGAAAAATGGCTCAACAACTTGGATATATCCTAGTGTGAGTACTTTAAATTGAAGTTCTTTCATTGATGGCAGTTATTTTATATATGAATTTGGATTATCATTTCCTTGTGATTTGCAGTGTGCTAAGCAACAAGGGCCAACAGAGTGCGGATATTACATTATCCGTTATATGTTTGAGATTATTGAGAGCGGATGTATTACAAAATTTGATGAGGTAAGTAAATATAATTTTAGTTTTGTAATAGTTGAATTTTTAAATTGAATTGTTACTTATTTTATTTTCTTCCTATGTTTAAATTTGTTCATTTGTCAATTTACATATTTTTGATAATGATTGTTCATATACTATTGATGACATTAACTTCATCCGAGACCTTTTGGCACAGCAACTGCTTCAAGAATTGTGATCCAGGGATTGAGCAAGTTTATGTTTAGAGACAATAGGATCAATATTGACTTTTGTAATTTGTTCTTCTTTTTTGACTAGTTAGTTAATTAATGTGTCTATATAGATGAAGTTATGATGTTGATATGTCTTGGCTGAAAATATTGATTGGTTCATACTATTTCAACTTGCTGGAAAGTGGCTATTATGGCTATTGTGGCTGTAGGAGAAGCAGTATATACGAACTGAATCTTTTTTTAAAAAAAACAGAGTAAATTCACGTCTGTTTAGAGAAAAACAGACGTGAATTCACGTCTGTTTGCACAAACAGACGTGAATTCACGTATGTTTTTGCAACCAGACGTGAATTTTCGTCCGTTCCAAACAGAAGTAAAAAGGGGGTACTTTTTATGTCCCTTCTTTTCATGTCCCCTGCAAAACAGACGTAAAAAGTCCTCCAAAACAGAAGTAAAAAGTCTTCATTGTAGTAGTGATATGAGAAGCAAATTTTTAAAAGTAGCCATGCAATTCCGACAGAAATTCGGATTACTCCAGAGTGTCCAAACCTAGTCATCTTAAACTGCAATAACAAGGAAACAAATAGATTCCACCCAAGAAGAGAGTAGAGAGAACCAACAGTGAACATAAAAGTTTAATCCCAAATTGCAAAGGGGGGAGAAAAAATTAACGTCACTTTTCTTTTAATTTTAAGATTTCGTGCTATTGCAAATTAGTTGACCGATGTTCCAAATATTGAGTGAGAGATTATGTGCGTATAAAGATTTACTTCAAGTAAGTTTACACTGTGCAATCTAAATATTGGGGAAAAAATATGCTTGTTTCGTGAAATATAAAAGAAATGGTTTTTTTTTTTTTTGGGGAAACTAAGATGAGGATTGAGGAAGGAGGTCGATTTCATCGTCACGTTGTTGAGATTGAAAGGACTGCTGAAGATAAGCGTAAAATCAGTAGTGGTTTATAAGGGTAGTAGGTGTGGTCTGGTGGCACCTGTCCCTATAAAGGCTCCAAAAAATGCTTAGCCTTGTGGACACGAGAGAAAAGGTTAGGGGTCCTCACCTTTGAAAAGGTTACGAGTCCTTTTGCAGAGGCCTTGCGGTTTGTAGGTTCCATTTTCCGTCCTTTTTTTTTTCGTCCTTTCTATTTTTCTCTTCATGGTAAAGTCGGGTAAAATGCAATTTATTCTCTGTGTTTTTCCCAACTTTACTTTTCTGTCTCCTTTACTTTAATTTTCTCTAAGCATATGCATAGAAAGAACAAAGATTAGATTGTCTATTCATTTATTTTAAAATATAAAATATCTTCTTTATTACATAATATAGACGAACAAAAGGAAAATCAAACGCCAACATATACTACAAAAAATCTTGTCGAGTAAAAAATTCTTAAGGGATTTTACCGATACAAATTCCCAAAAGTGGTTTTTACTCAATAAATGAAAATATTAGCATATATAGAGATATTATTTTCTCTTAGAGGGAAGGATAACCATCAATTTAAATAAAATTAAAATAAAACAAAGAACGCAGTTTTAGACCGTTGATGGTGAAACTTAATTGCATCATAGACCGTCTAATTAATTTAAATTATTAAAAATTGTTTACCGTAATTTTTCAATAGCTGCAGGTTGGGTCATCCACTTTAAATATCGTCCTTAAAGCTTTCTCTGACTGATAGCCAAACATTGCTATCTGTCATTCACTGCATTTCTGTCTTCTCCTTCTCGATTTTTATCTTCACTTCTTTGGTGCACCCTAAGCAAACCATGTCCGAATTTATTCCTCTAGTTATTGACATCCTAACTTGTTTCTGTGGTTATGGTGCCAAATGGGCAGATTCAATACGCAATCTTGGAGAAAACCTCAACTCCTTGGAAAGTGCTTCAAAGCAACTCGACGATATGTATCATGATGTCAAGATGAAGGTCGAAGCAGCAGAGCAGGACCCAAGGCTGACGGTTTTGAATCGGGCAAGGGGTTGGATGCGCAGAGAAGAAGAGCTACGAAAGGAAGTCGAAGACATTGTGAAGCAAGGTCGTCGAGAAATATAAGCCAAATGTTTCGGAGGTCATTGTCCCAAGAATTGCCGGGCTATCTACAAGCTACAAAAAATGGTTGACCAAAAGCTGAGTGACGTTGATGATCTTACAAGCGAAGGCCATTTTGATGTTGTAGCAGAAAAGATTTCCCGTTATATGTTCTATGAACTTCCTGTGGCTAAGCTTGTAGGGGTAGAATCAACATTTGAGAAGCTATGTTCATGCTTTGAGAACAATCCGAGAGGCATCATTGGTTTGCGGGGAATGGGAGGGGTAGGCAAAACAAGTCTGCTTAGGAAATTCAACAACGATTTCCTTTCAAAGAAAGCAAACAATGTAGTCATTTGGGTTGTGGTGTCTAAAGATGCAGATGAAGGAAAAATTCAAGTTGCCATTAGGAAGAAATTGAATGTCACAGATGATGAATGGAATAATAAGACGGTGGATGAAAGAGCTGTTGTGTTATGGAATATCTTAAAAAACAAGGAATTTGTGTTGTTATTAGATGATGTTTGGGAAAGGATTGACCTGTTAAAATTGGGGGTTCCTTCCCCTAATAATCATGAATGTAAGATAATATTTACAACTCGGTTAGAAGAGGTATGCGGTTGGATGGGTGCGGATGCAGATGGAAGCATCAAAGTAAATTGTCTCCCACCAGATAAAGCATATGATTTGTTCAAGGAGAAAGTGGGCGATACTACTCTTGAACAACCTAATATATCGTCTCTTGCAAAGCAAGTGGTGGAAGAATGTAAAGGCTTGCCACTTGCTCTTTGTACTGTTGGACGTGCCATGGTTAACAAGAAGACTCTTGATGAATGGAAGCGTAGTATAAAAATTTTGAAGAGGAATCCCTCAAAGGTCCCAGGTATCGTTGATGAAGTCTTTCTCTTACTTGAATTTAGTTAGAGTAGATTGCCAAATGATACCTGCAAATCATGTTTTTGTTATTGTGCCCTGTTCCCTGAGGACCATAACATTAAAAAACAGGAGCTTATTTTGCTCTGGATTGCAGAAGGTTTCTTGGCTGAATTTGATTGCAATATTCATAAAGCATGTAAGCAAGGAGAAGATATAATTTCAACTCTAAAGTATGCGTGCTTATTGGAAAATGGTGAGAAAGATGATACAGTTAAGATGCATGATGTGATTAGAGGTACAGCTCTCTGGCTAGCTAATGATCACGGGGATACGACGAGATTCATTGTAAGAGGCTATTCCATGACAACTGGGCTTGAAGTATACAATGATCCAAAGTGGAAAGAGGTAGAAAAGCTATCAATGTGGGGCGGGGGTGATGTGAGCACAAACTTCCCACAAAAACCCCATTGTCCTAATCTCGTGACTCTACTTATTAGGAATACTTGGATACAGGCCTTTCCAACTGAGGCATTTGTCCTTCCAAGTACTGTCAAAGTTCTGGACTTTTCTTCTAATTATGGAATAAGAGATGTACCATCAGAAATAGGGGACTTTGTAAACCTGAACACATGAACCTATCCAATACTCGCATAAGAAAATTGCCAGAGGAGTTGAAGAATTTGAAGAAGCTGAAGGTCTTGTTGCTGGACAGAATGCACGTGCTTGAATTCCCAGAGAAAGTTATATCCGGTTTGTTATCCCTTCAAGCTTTTAGCACGAGACGGTCAAAACTTGGAGGGATTGATGAAAATGTGTTGTTGAATGAGCTAGAAGGCTTAGATCGTCTTCAAGATATACGCATTTCTGTTTTCAGCACCTCCTCTGTCGAAAAAATACTGAACTCCCCAAAATTGCAAAGATGCATGTGTGAGCTATTTGTTACAAGAGTACACTCATCACTTCGCGACTTGTTCTCATCACTTGGAAATATGAAGCATCTTGAAACATTAAAAGTTGATGCTTCTGAGGTTGCGGAGACTCCGAGGAGCTTATTTAGGCGGACATGATTATATAACCCTTCGCAAGCTGGTTCTCATTGGGTTTCATAATATGCTTGACTTGAACTGGCTTCTACATGCTCCAAACCTTGAATTCCTTACATTAGCCTATTGTGATTCATTGGTGGAAGTTATAAGTAGCGAGGATTTTGGCACTGAGATACAGAAAAGTAATCTATTTTGCAGTCTCAGTTATCTTCGATTGAGATATCTGAGGAACTTAATGAGCATTTGTAGAACAGCATTAGAGTTTCCTTGTTTGAAGGAGATTGAAGTATTTCACTGCGGCAATTTGAAGAAGCTCCCATTTTCTCAAAATACATTGAAAAATCTACAATGCTTTATAGGATATGCTGAAGAGTTGTTGGATCAATTGGAGTGGGAAGACGAAGCTACCAAGGATCTTCTTTCATCAAAATTTCGAAGGGTAATTATTTCTGTCAACTAATTGCAATCAGTTACTTAAAGCTTTAAAGTTATTCTCACTTGCATGCAAAGTCTGATATACTTTCTAATTGAACCGAGCGCTGCATCCACATAAATATTCATCATGAGATTATAATATCTGTGAATAATTTATTTTCCCAATATTTCATATGGCGCTTTAAAATTTGTAGAATTTTTAATTTAAAGTACGCATAGCATATTTCACCAAAAGAGTACAAATACCATGTAAGAAAATTTTGATATTGTGATGCTTGCCTGCATGCGTCCTGTTCTATATAGAACTGAAAATGAAGAGAAATAGTAAATTTGTAAATATTTTGACATATAAATCTTTGTTCCTCCTGTTTGTGCTTTATTATTTGGTTTGAAGTTTTTTTTCGGTTACTGTCTGGTGGTTGTGGATTTTGTGCCCTTTGTTTCGTTTTAGTTTGGGCTTTTGTATGGTCTGTTTCTATTATTTAATAAAAGAAGTTTGATGAGTATTTGTCAAAAATTGATAAAAATTATTCTTTTTCATGCCTAATTAAAACCATTAAGCTATTATATGCAATAAATTTACTAAAACTTATACAAGGAATAATTAACTAGTTTATTAATGTAGTTAATCAAAGACAATTCAAAGACCCAACATTGAATTCTAAGCCGTGTTCAAGATCTAATACTTTAGTAAATGATATATGCATACAAATTATTGTATATATTTTTTTTAAAAAAAGTTACATTTTTGTAAGAAAATTACACACACACACACACATATTAAATTATACATAAAAATAATATAATGATGTTTTATTTTGAAAAGCACCACATAAGAGAAGGCATTAATTGAACCATTCCGTAACAAATTTATTGATTTATAGAATATAAAAAGATTAATTATTTGCGTTCATCTGCTGCAATATCTTTTTTTTTTTCCCCTTTTTCTTTTTCAATATCAAGTGCCTTCGCTGATTAATTTTTGATTTTTTACCCTGGCTAAACTTTCCGTGCAGCCATCCTTTCGGAGCGTAGCTAAACAAGCACTTATGGGAACTAGAGTTCGGCTCAGAGAGTGAGTATTTATTGTAACGCTATGCATCCTTTCAAGTACGTTTTATTTATATATATTTTCTTTTAGGTTTAATATACTTTTTTGTCCCATAATGTTGTCTTCATTTATTTTGACTTTGGTCCTTCAAGTTTCAAATTATAGGTTTTACTCCTTCAAGAACCAAAATGATCCAAGTTTTTATTGAATTATAAGATCAATATTTTAAATAAAAAAAATTGAAGGATAAAAGACTATGATTTGAAATTTGAGGACCAAAACAAAATGAGGATAAACTTGAGGGACCAAAAATTATAAATTTGTAAATATTTTGACATAAAAAGTTTTTGCTACTAGTTGGTGTGAAGCTTTTTTGGGTTGCTGTCTGCCGGTTGTGGGTTCTGTACCCTTTGTTTTGTTTTAGCTTGGCCTTTGTATGATCTGTTTATATTATTTAATGAAGGAGTTTAATGAGTATTTGGCGAAAACTGATATAAATTATTTTTTTTCATGCCTAGTTAAAAACCGTTAAGCTATTATATGCAATAAATTTATTAAAACGTATACAAGGAATAATTAACTATAGTTTATTAATGTAGTTAATCAAAGATACTTCAAAGACCCAACATTGAATTCTAAGCGGTGTCCAAGATCTGATATTTTAGTAAATGGTAAATGCATACAAATTATTGTATATATATGTTTTTAAAAAACTACTTTTTTTATAAGAAAATTAACCAATACACATATATTAAATCATACATAAAAATAATATAATGACATTTTATTTTGAAAAGCAACACATAAGAGAAATTTTAAAAGAGACTAACAGGCATTGAACCATTCCGTAGCAATTATTTTTTGAATTAAAGATCACCTTCATATGTTGGCCCCAAAAAAAAAGATCACCTTCATATGTTGGCCCCGAAAAAAAAGGTCGCCTTCATAATTTTTTGAATTAAAATACATATATACAGATACAGACACAGACACGTTAAATTATAAATTTTATTTTGAAAAGCAACACATATGAGAAAATTTCCTAGTGACTAACAGGCATGAAACTATTGCTTGACAAATTCATTGATTTATAGAATATAACAAGAAATATAAAAGGATTAATTACTTCTGTTCATCTGCTGCAATATCTTTTTTTTTTATTATCAAGAACCTTCACTAATTAAACTTTTTTCCCCGGCTAACTTTTCATGCAGGCCAGTATCAGAGTATGTCGTCTAAGAAAGGCTATTATTCGAAGGTGGGTGCCTAAGAATTTTCCTTTTCGGGCGAATAACATATTGTGTATATATATTGAAGATAAAATTTCTGGAAATAAATGAGTGAATAAAGGTTATAGTCAGTGTTTCTATATTCCTGTATCCTCTCAGATTGTATCGTTTTGTATCCTCTCAAGCACTATGGTTTCATCATTTTTACTGTTTACCCATAAACGTTGCCATAAGGTTTTACGCTATGTCTTTTGTTTTATGATATGATTTTGGGTTAATATAATCATTAGTGTGCTTATAATTTTTCTTATAATTTTGGGCCAATATAATCATTAGTGTGCTTATACTTTCTTTTTATTTTAGTTTTAGTTCCTAAAATTTTAGAGCGTGTTTTTCGGTTCTTTTAAAAGTTTGTCCCTTTGGAACGTTAGTCCTTATATTTCTAAAAGGCTTGGAGTTGCTTACTTGGCAAGATGACTGGGTAAATTTGCTGACCAAGCTTCTGATCTGCACATATGACAAAAACAAAATAGAACCATAAAACGCAGCACCTAAGAGGCCATGACCAAAAGGAATTCTGATAGAGAGAAGAAATGGATTATGATAAGAATTTATGTAGTAGTATTATGCGAAAAAACCCAAACAGAAACCGAACGCCAAAATCAGACTTTTGAACGAGTACCTAGAAAAATATTTAGAAACAGACGAATGTGAAGCCCTTGCCTGGGTTTCCTGCTATGACATTTATGTCTTCTGCAAACCTTTCCTCCTTCTCTTGCGCTGGTTGCTTTTGTTAGATATTTTATTATAATTATTATTTAGATATATATATATTAGGAAATTAATAAAATACTCTGAGTGTGGCTCTTTCAGTCAAACAAGGCCCAAGCCCAGTAGAGTTAAGCTTTTCAGTCCATATATGTGTTGGTAACTCTCTGATGGTGAGACGCGCAACAATTGAGTTGACGGCTGAATATTCTGAGAGCGGTAGTTTTAAGAGTGACCTATCTATTTCCTTGAGGTTCCCTGACTGGTGACGACTGATCCAGTTGCCATCACTGTGCCCTATTCCAGTCAGAAGAGACTTGAGCAACCCTTTTCTTCTAACCATTGTTCTCTTTTGCAGCTTTATTCCCCTGTCTCAGATCCCGAGATCATTCAAGATAAGACAAATGGCAAGAGGTATATAAAGATTCTTCCACTGTATTATTTTATGAAAAGATTCACATTTCTTTATTGTTTTATTTATTTGTATTGTGAATTTGTCTTACACGTGGCATCAGAGCCAGGTTAGGTTCTACTCTGCCTATTTTGTTTAATTTGGTTGTTTTGTTTTATCTGGGATGATTTGGCTTTATTTGTACCGTATATCTTCATCACTTTCAAAGGCCAAATCAGAATCGTTATTATTTTCACCGGTTATTTTAAACAATTTTGGTTCTTGATTTTATTCGAGATCTGTATGTGTGATCTTCTCAAAAGGCTCAATTTTTATTTTACATTCCGGTTCCTTCTCGTTTTGCAACCTGTCGTAAACCTTTTCTTTTCTATGTTTGAGAGAGTATGTCTTCGGTCATTTGGGACGGAAGGAAGGAGAATGTTCATCTCTCCGATGATCACCATCATCACCTTCATCAGAATTGGAGGGGCCGAAAACGAAACTCCCCTTTTCATTCAAGAAAGTCTGAGTTTTAATTCCGTTTTGCCCCTTTTTCCCTATTGTTATTGTTCGAAATTCTGTTTATTGTTGTTTTTTGTGAATTGTGTAACGTCCTGAGTTTTTATCGGGCTTTAATAATCTCTTTTGGTTGATTTTGAGGATAGATTAGCAATTTAATCTTGATCTTGGTGTTTGGGTTGGATTTGAGGTAT